CCCCCCCCAGCTAAATCTGATACCGCAGAGCTGTCAGCCTTCGGGGGGAGCAGACTGGGATAAACTGTTATATATTATATATATATATTTCTTTTTTTAGTTTGTTTTTTTAATTTGGTTTTATTTGGGTTTTTACCATGAGGGGGAGAGAGGAGAAGCGCTCCGGAGCTCGCGGGGACGGGGCTGACTCATTGTACGCAGCTGCTTTGGGAACGGCTCCCCGGGCGCAGGCGTGTGGCGTGCGCGAGGCTGTTCCGTCTGGTGTTGTAGCCATCTCGAGAACAATAAACAAACAAAAACACAAAAAATAAATTGAAAAAAATTCAGCTGTCGGGTTTGTGCCTCGTGTCTCGGGCGCTCGAGGGAACAGCAGAGCGATTTGGATTTTCTGTGCTTGTCCTGAGACTGAGCCTGGTCGAACCCTCTTTTCCAGCCAAGCTGGCCTCTGCCACTCATTAGCACCCCCCAGGAGCACGGACCTGCCTGTAGTGTGCCGATTCCTTCACTGGCCTGGGTAGAGCCTTTGAAAGGACACGCGAGCAGGCCGGGGGGAATTGCTGAATGTTACAAGTAAATGAACAAAGAGGAGCAGAGTCCAGGTGTGGTATTGCCCGGTGGGGGCGGGGCATGCATTGCAGCACCTGTGGGTATGTTATGTTCATCAGTCACCGTTAGCTGCGGGGAGAAAGTTGCTTGCTAGCGTGGCTGTGTAGTGGGGAGCGACCTGTAACGGCTGACAGGAGCGTGAAATAGCTTTAAAACCAAAGGAAGTTTTTCTTTACTCGCAGGCAACCTGTGGAACTCCTTGCCGGAGGATGTGGTGAAGGCTAGAACTTCAACAGGGTTCAAAAAAGAGCTGGATAGATTGATGGAGGTTGGGTCCCTCAATGGCTGTTAGCCAGGAGGGGTAGGAATGGTGTCCCTAGCCTCTGTTTCTCTCGAGGTGGGATGCTGAGCTGGATGGGCCTTTGGGCTGGCCCAGTCTGGCTGCCCTGATGTTCTTATCGTGGCCGAATGAGCCAAACAGCAAATCCACCCCGGGGCCGTA